CAGTCTACCAAGAGATACCAGAAACTATAACACTTACCAACAGGCCCCGGATGGAATCTACTGTTCGGCCTGGAATGACAGGGTACCAAGTAGGACCAGGTGGGACCACTTTTTCAATGAACCGCAGTCGAGACCTAGGAAAAAGTCCTGTGAAATTGTTGTTCCCAACTTATGGAAAAAGAGAGGACCCCCCTGATCCTCTACAGTATTTGGAACGCTGTGAGGATTATTTAGCTCTTAACTCATTAACTGATGAGGAACTTATGGCAACATTAAGGAATGTATTGCATGGCACTGCTAGAGACTGGTGGGATGTAGCCAGACACAAAGTACATACATGGGCTGATTTTCAAAGACAGTTTCGAGCCGCCTTTCTCTCTGAGGACTATGAGGATGAACTAGCAGAACGAGTGAGGACCAGAATTCAAGGAGAACATGAGAGCATTAGAGATTTTGTATATATGTACCAATCCTTATGCAGACGTTGGAGACCACAGATTGAAGAAGAAGACATTGTTAAGATGATCCTAAAAAACATAAATCCCACCTTGGCCAGCCAGTTGAGGAGCAGCAGAGTTACAACTGTGGATGAACTTGTGCGTCTAGGACAACAGCTGGAGAGAGACCGAGAAAATCAACAACAGTATGAACACAAAAAACAGACAAAATTACCACCTAAACCAGTTGAACAAAGACCACCTCCACAAGATAACCCAGTACGTCCAAAACAACCAAATTTCAACCAGAATTACAATCGCCCACCTCAGCCATACTGTTGGCGTTGTAAAGGAAATCATCCTCCTGCAGCTTGTCCACGTGGTGGAAACAATAGAGCCCCACTGCTGACAAACCCTCCTCAACCAACTCACGCTCCATTACGGATTCCATCAGCTCCTGGCCCTGCAACTCTTGGTTCCCTCACAAACCCTGGAAATCGAGATAAAAACTTTCATGTTACTAACACTCTTCCATGCCAGTTGATGATCCCCATCAGCATCAGCCCCTGGAAAGGATCTGCAATTTTGGATACAGGTTCTTCTTATACCTTAGTGAATGAGAAAGTATGGAATGAAATCAATGGAGAGCTCAAACCTTGGACCAGAGGACCCTTATACTTAGCAGATGGAGAAGAACGACAGCCTTTGGGATGGAATGAGATCACTATTTCATTACAAAACCAACCAATAACATTACCTTGTGTCATCTTATCTGCTCAACACCTCACCTTCCCTGCAGTAATCGGTCTTGATTTCATCTCCCTCTCTGGCCTGCAGTTTGATGTATCTGAAAAACGTTATTGGTTCAAATACAATAAGAAACAACAATACAACTTTCTACAAGAAGATGCCTCATGGCCAAATGGACCCCATCAACAGCTTGCCTTTTTCTCCGCAGTTTCTCCTGCAC